ATTTTGCGGAAGAAGAGGAACAAAGGGTTAACCATGCATCAGTACTTGAAATGCGGGTGAGTGATCGAGTTGGAAAAAAAGTTGGAATTTTTTTACACGTTGCAACCTTTTGTTTGATTTAAATCGATTACGCGGAACAGCATTGTCAATTTAACAATCATTGATCGAATTGGCATTACACATGCACACGTGTATCGTCGAACAAAGTGGATTTATTGACTTAAATTTTGAGAATGAACTTGCTGTAGCAATACGCCGAATTCACACGATCAATTTGTATTATACTTTTGGTAGTATACTATCGCGGTATTCCGCTTACAGCTGATAACAATTTTGCTGCATTCACGAACCGGTGCGTTCCAGTTTTGGTTGACCTTAGTGACTCAATTCTTATCATAGCGGTTCTCAAACAATTCTCCCATTCTTCGCCTTCGTCTTAGCAATTAAGGTGCACTTGCATAGACTCACGTGAGACGCCAATTAACTCGTTATTACTGCTGCTCCCGGTCATTTCATTATCCTGCGCCGTGGGGTTCCGACCGACCCTTAAATTCGAGAAATGCTAAACGGGAAAGAACCGACTCGTCGTTCCACTGAAAAATATCTCAGATTCCTCTTTTTCCCCGTAGAGCTCGTAAAATGTGGTTTATGTAAGCTGCAGTAACTTCGTTCCGGTTTACGCTGGATTTCCTCGGACGATGAATTTTTTTATCTTTAAGCAAATTGCGAAAAGTACATCGTCGTGTACGAATACACGCGCGTAATCAAATTGCTTCTCGTTCGTAGTCACAATTTACCACATAATCGAAAGATAATCTTACAGAATCGTGTCAAAGTTCAACCGATGTTGACGACTTTTTATTCCAAAGATCTTTTTCACCTTAGCCGACGTTCTTTCGCGATCGATTCGGTATTTAGCGAGCAGAAAGTGTTCCGAATAGTGTTCCGAATAGATTATTCTTGATCGTTTCTTCAGCCACTTGCGTCACACAGAGTCCCTAATCGATAAGTGTCGGTAACTAAAACCGATATTTATCGGTTATTATCGGCTGCGGTATCCTCCGATCGTAGACCTAAATCGATTTGAATGGCATTTTACAAGAAGAACCGGTAAACAGTCAGATTACGACCGTTTGAAAAGGCGCCATTAGATAATCGCCGAAGCCTCATCTTCGTTAGGGAGGTCAGTCTTAGTTTCCTTTCCCCACGAAGGTTACTCTTTCCATTCGGAAAGTACAGTATTCCTCCGCGTGCTGTAACAGAAACATTCCAATAGGATTGTCTGGTTAATCGGCGAAAAATCTGTCTTCTTTTTTAGCGAAGCTCTGCTCGCGTTGCCATCGTTGACAGTGTTCAAGCAGGAGGCACCGTCGCCGGAGAACCAGCAAAATTCCAAGTAAGTTCACCTAACAGCTCCCAGTGGAAGAACAGAACCGTCAGGCGTTTTTCTTCGCGCGCTATATTCGAGTCATCACCTTGTGTGAGCCGCTCGTGCGCCATTGCTCGTTTCGTAATCGCATCCTTTGTCCGTGGTAGCAAATATTTCTCCCCTTTTCCATCCATCTTTCCACCTATCGGGACACGATCCGTGGTTTGTCCCGTCATAAGTCGATCGTTAGCAACGCGAAACTGTCAGTCGCGATTCATCGCCAGACCGATTAAACGCGCGTCGCGGAAACGTATACGGTAAAGACTCGATAAGAGTTCGAAATTCGGGACCGCTGTGGAACAGTGCAGGGATAGGTACTAGATTCTTCAAACTACGTTCTTCGCATTTTACCGACACCGGCGGACGCAGAAGAGAGAGGTATCGAAAGTCGAGACAGTCCTGAAATATTAAATACCTACATATCGGCGAGACAACGCTTTGTTGATCAAATTTTTACTAACATATCCAGGATATTTTTCTGATTAAAATGAGACCAAATGCGTCTTAATAAGAAATTCCACACGTGCGTATGTATATACGTAAACAATATAACGACGTACGCATGTGAATTGTTCGAGTGTGCATTATTTTTGAAGAAACGAAGATGACCTTAAATTTTTTAAATCTATTTAAATTCTATTTCTAACATACTGCAATTGTTCGCAAGCTGTTTGCGAACTGCTTGTGAACAGTCCCGACTAGTGTGTATTCCTATGTGTACTTTAAACTCGTTAATTGATCAAAGGCAATGCCGCTTACGAACCGTTAGTCTGAAGAAGAGTGGCCTATTCGAGAATAACCGGATAGGTTCAGTTCTGGTACTGTATAACGGTTCCTTTCTGGCACAGCTGTGAGACCCTTACAAAAATGGTGTTACATTCTGTAGATGTAAACAGTGAAATAGAGCGTGGAAAAACGTAGCGGGTAAAGGAAGATTCACAAGCCCAATCGACACAACCAAGTTTTGTAACAATATCGTGTTTGGTATCATTTTGACCAGGGAAATCTCACCGATATTTCGATGAAATTTTGATTAACGAAAAATTGAAAATAAGAAACTTTTGTGGTTTTGTTAGTATTGCCACCGAGATACCGCGTTCAAGGGTGGTCCCCCCTCGTGGCGGGGACAGACCGTGAACAGTTAACGTGTCGATCCGAACGAACTCTTATAGAATCTTTACTGTAGAAGGATAGTCTATCTCGGAGCTCGTGAAAGAAAGGAAAAAGCAAAACTGGCAACGGAATTTGCCGCGAGACTCCCCCGCAGAGACACGAGAGCGATAAGCGTTCTATCGTTGCGTTTCTTCGCACAATTATCGGACAAATGGCACGCAGGTCAGACCTCTTTACTCTCGCAAAGTTCCTTCGCCAGTTATCTGGCGGCGTTACTTCTGTTAGTGTTAAATGCCAGTTGGTCGAGAGATCGGCTATGCGAAAAACGTGATTCCCTCGATAAACGTGACGGTCGGTCGTATCGTTTCACGCTGTTCCCCGTTTAACAACTACAGTTCCAGTGATTATCTTGGCGGTGAAACGCGAAAAACGACGAAGAGAAACAAAGAGAGAGAGAGAGAGAGAGAGAGCGAACGCTGACTATTTTTAAGTGTTTTGACAATTGGAGCTATATTTACTCTAACCGGGTTCTTCGTCTGTTACTGGGAATCGTACTTGTGCATCCTATGCAAGCCGAGACGAAGAAACTCTTACAGCACGTAATTCTAGATATCTGGACGAACGTTACGTTTGTCGCTATTACATCTGTCGAGACGATTCACTCGGAGAGAGATGGAGTGGTTAAGGGCACATCGTTTCGAAAGCTGTGCGAGAAACGAACGAATTGCTCCTAATTAGGAACTGTGCCGTTCCGTGCGTCCCACGCGAGACGTTAACAGCCCTATTTCGTGAAACCTGCTGGTAACGAGCGCGAAATTAACCGTAATTTCATCGATCCTCGCGGTACAGCGACGAGAAGTTCCCCGGATTTAATCCCCTCGTCCTCGATGTTCCTTAATCTGTAGTGAGTGCAGTCTGTCATGAAATTAATACATCGTAGCGATCAGATTTTAGGCTTTCGAGGAAACGTGTGAAAATGGTAGGAAACTCAGGAATACACGTAGGATATTGATGTTCTTTTTTCGTTGGATCTCTGCTTCAGTTTAAACCACGTGTCACAAAGAACGATCAATTCGACGCCAGCAGTGAACAACGTGAACAGCTCCGCGGAGGCTGACAGTAACAATAATGGGCAAACAGCAATTAGTCTTCATCAGTTGCTTTACTCCTCGAGCGAAGAGTATCCTCCGACATCGTCTTCAGGGAATCACGTCTCCTCCTCCTCTCAACAAGGAACCGAGCTCAACGAGGATTGCCGGTACGTCCTAGCATGCTCTCAGAGAAAGGTTTAACGAATCCTATCGGCTAACAGAGGAACGATATTTTCCATAGTTTCCAATACGTGCTTGCCGCTGCCACGAGTATCGCGACCAAAGTGAACGAGGAGACGCTCACCTACCTAAACCAGGGTCAATCGTACGAGATCAAGCTGAAGAAACTTGGTGATCTGTCTGCTTACCGTGGCAAAATTCTGAAGGTACTTTGTTATCCATTATTGGTCGAGCTGTCGCGTCGATAGATGGTCTATGTTTGGGCAGCGACATCTTAAACAACGTACTAGCTTTGCGTTAAAGGAGAGAATCAAGTGAGCTCATGCTGATTGCAGTACGACGATTGCACCGGTGGTTAATTTAGCTTCTGAGAGGGAATAATTAGCGTAACAGGGGGTGGAAATTGATGTAACACGTTGGATAGTCGATGAAAGCGCGAGGTTCGGCGTGAGCTCGTAGGTCCCCGACGTTCGAAAGATGTGAGTGACCCAAACGGTGCTACAACGTCTCTGAAGGAACATCCGACGTTTTTGTTTCAGTCGACAATACGCATATGTTTCCACGAGAGGAGACTTCAGTACACCGAACGCGAACAAATGCTCGCTTGGCAACGCGCGAGACCCGGTGAAAGATTGCTCGAGGTCGATGTTCCCCTTAGTTATGGGATGGTGGACGTTTGTCAACCGTCTCCGTCCAATAATAGCGTGGAATTTATGTGGGATCCCACCAAGGAAGTCGGCGTTTATATAAAGGTACAAAAATCTAGCATCGTCGCGCGAGCCCTTCCTATCTTTCTCCCTACCGACTCTTCGGAGATCGACGAATTATCGACGAATTATCGACGAAGAGTCTAGCAAACGCCGGTACCCCTTCTCTCCCACCATGGCAAGAGTGATCGTTTCACGTGTCAGGGGGTGGAACGAGCCACCCCTGAGAATTAAAGTGGTATCTGACCCTTCCATCCCAGGTGAACTGTATAAGCACCGAATTCACGCCCAAGAAACATGGTGGGGAAAAAGGCGTGCCGTTTCGAATCCAAGTGGAAACACGACTGCCTGGAGGCCCCCGTTTGCACGCTGCTTCTTGCCAGGTGAAAGTGTTCAAACTGAAGGGAGCTGATCGAAAGCACAAGCAGGATCGGGATAAAATATTGCGACGACCGCCACACGAGCAGGACAAATATCAGCCGAGCTACGAATGCACGGTTCTCTCCGACGTAAGTGATCGATTCGATCGTGAGTTTCCAGGGGAGAAGACTAACACAGGGTGGATCCTGTCGTCTGATTACAGATTCCCCTAGACTCCTTGTCACCGTCCAATCTGATCACACAAAATGGAGGCAGCCCTTACGCTTCGACAGAGGCAATGTGAGTACATGTCTCTTTGTTTCACGTACCTACTTATCATTTTCAACTTTGTCCGATCTTGGACGAACGTTATCGCCGCCTAATCGGTATTTGTCGGCGACCGAAGTTTTTCTGGCATGATTATTACGCAAGAACCAGCTTGGATTGCATCAATTACACGGTCGTGTAATCGCCATTATTTTTTTTTTCTTTTCTCTCTTCGTTCGCGAAGAGCTGATTCGTTGCTCAACTTGTTTTTTCCACGTGCTGCTTGTTATTTCACGCCGCGCAATCGTAAAATATCGTTGCTCGTCGACGCGACAGGTGATTTGGTAAATTTTCCTGAACTGGCCCGTTCCGGATATGACAAGTTTACGTTCCTCTATACAACGGTCTATATTAATCGATTTGCAAATCGAGGGAACCTCGAAATCTTCGCTTCGCCGTTATTTCCGATGACACGATAGCGAGTCGGACAGCGTCAAAGTCCACCGGTGTCCGTGACGCGTCTTTAACAAGATCCTAATGTAGAATTGCCATTTTTATTCCAACGCGAGAGTATAAATAGCCGTTGTAGCAAACAAGAGACGGGCAACATGGTGTCCTTGGTGTCTCCGCACAAAAGGAAGACACCGTGGACCGTAAAGAGCGGAGAAGTTGAACAGATTCTCCAACAACGACTGGAATAACTTGACAAATTGTAAGGAAAAAAAGATAGGAAAAGTAGACCACCTTGCCCCTCTTTGCAGCCGAGATGCAACGATCTGCTGAGCGCGTCAAAGGTGAAATTGAAAAAGAGAAGAAAATGCGATCGGAGTGGGGTATCGAAAATTTGGGGAAAATCTAGTTTTAAAAGGACGTAGGACGCAGAATGGCGCCCCGGTTCGGTCTCGATGCAGAAATGCAACCGCAGCGTTGCCGTTTCTCTATGATGAACCTCCGCGTTGGTCGAAAGGTGGGGGATCGCGGATGAATCGAAGGTGGAGGAGGTAGAATGTAGTTCGCGAAGTGGTGGCGGCAAGCGTGGCGATGGTAATGGCAATGGACGATACCAGTCGTGGGATAAGGTGGTGGAAGAGGAGGTGCCGGCACGGGAGTCGCGAAACTGGCTCGAACTGGCACAAGCCGGCGTCCGGTAGAGCCGACAACGATGCTCCTTGAACAAGAGAGAGACAGCCTGGTCGACAAATAAATTCAGAACGCCGCACGATACACGCGTTGCCGCGCAGCCGCTTCGGTTCTCCGTTTTATCCGTCAGCCTCTTTCTCAACGAGAACCATTCGCCTTCTTTTTCGCGACGCATACGCGCATATATACACGCACGCACACGCACACTTGAACGCTTCTTGTGTCCGTCATTCGCCACCATCTTGTTTCTCTCGACGACCACAGTGATTACTCCTGACGGTTAAACGGGCCACGTTGCTTGGTGAACGAGATAATCGACGAGGAAACGGTACCAAGTGAGAGTCGCAGACATGATTTACCGCTGAAGGCGCATGTTTATAAATAAAACCGAGTGATCGGTCACTGTCTCGCGTTTTTCCGTGTGATTTCGCTTAGATTCAGACCGTGCTGGCTGATTTTACTTGCGTGACGGTCGCTGGTCGCGATATATCCCCGCCGTTAATCGATACACACTCCACGTTATCGCTCATTTCCGCGACCTCGAGCTCATTTCTCGCTTCACCGGAGAGAGAGAGCGAAGGACGTGTTCGAAGATTTTCGAGCTTGGTACCATCGACGGGGGAGGACCTCAGCAACGGAAGCGTCTCGGACGGACGTTCTACAAGAGTCCATTAAGTGTCGTGCAACGATGCACGGGAACGAGTGCAACGATTTCTGCCTTGTGAAATAATATTCTAGCAAGTAACATTCGGTTCACGTGACCGTGAATTTATAAATAAATCGAGTAGATTCTCAGGTAAACACCGTGAGAAGAGAAAAAAAGTTGAACTTTGTTGTGTATCGACGTATTAGAAATTGAACGTCGGCAGAGGTAGTTGAACGAAGAGGGGAAGAATAAATTAGAGAGAAAAAAGGAAGGTGTACTTTAAACCGGACGTGTGATGCCCGAGGGGCCGCGACGACGATAATTTTTGCCCGGAGCCGAAGCCCGGAGTACGAAGGAAGCGAAGAGAGCACTCGAGAGTGGCGAAAGTTAATCGATCGGGCGTCGAATCGAGAGTGAAGCCACTGCACGCCGTTGGAATGCCCTCGTCCGGTGTAGAATTTCGTTTTCCAGCTGATCGTCCGGTACTGTCCCGTGCGTCGTCGATCATCGTCGATCTCGAGTTGTTGCGCGTCGACAATCAGAGCGTCCCGGTCACCGAGATCCTGGCCAGTCAGGTGCTCCTGTCACGCCAGGATCACTTCCTCAGATGACGAGCAGCCTGGCCGCCGAAAAGCTGATGCCAGGGCGGTTCGATTCAGCCTTGAACAGAAACGTTTCCAATAAAAGCACAAGCTTCTGTATTGTTATCCGCGTTTTCCCAAACGCGTGGATTTATCAGCACCGATCGGCTCAGCGAGAAACTCGGCGTTGATCTCGTTCGACCGCGTAACGCGACCGGGGAAAAGGTAAACAGGAGAACGAGAATTTGTCGTTCTGTTTTTCTCCCCCTCTCGATTCAGATCGACTGGAAAAGGAAAGGAGAGGAAGAAACCCCGCGTGTGTTCCTCCATGCTGCTTCGATTTCCACGTTCTCGTAAAAGCACGAGGAAGCAGGGAGAACGTGAGGGGAATAGCTGAACCGACGATCCGTTGAAAGATACATCCATGAATGAGACGAGGTTTTTCGAATAATTTCAGACTCGTCACGTCTGTACGTGCGTTTCGATTAGAATGCACTTGGCGTATGCGGGTGGCCGTTGGTGTATAGCTGTTAGTTTAGTAATCTTAGCCACGGATGAACGGAGAAGGGGTTAGAGGGAAGAATCATTTGGAAGGAAAGTGTGAGGAAAGATTTTCGTTCGTTATCACAGAAGGGGATCTTGGTTTTTTAAATTTAGCGTGACAGAGCGACGGACGAAGGCGAGACTAGAGATATCCGGTTCGGAGCAGTCTCGTGTACCAATAACGATCTGATTCGTACCGATCGTATCCGACGAGGCAGCAGCCTTCTCGAATCGAGACTTTCGAACGATCAATTGGATCTCAGTTGCGATCAGACTGAAAGCTGGCTGCCTACGCTTCGAGCGTAAACTGCTCGTAAGGGGAGAAACGAGAAACTGACGTAACTGTAAACTGTTTTGGTAGAAGAAGAAATCGAGAGGTGGATGGGAAGGATGGTCAAAATGTAGCGGGCAACGGATGGACGTTGCTCGAGGTTGAATCGACAGGGGGAGGAGATCGATTAACATCGAAATTGGTACGAATGGAAAGAAGAGTCGGAGATTGGTGGAGCGTTCGCGTGTTCAGATTGTACGTGTTCATGAAAGAACGGATGAAAAGCCGAAAGAAAAGCTTGTTCGGTTGAGGTAGACGCTCGAGGAATTTTTGGCAACGCAGATGGGACGCGACAAGTTAGTACCCGAGATGACAAAGAGTTGCCCTAGTTGGAGGTTGAAGAGCTGCTGGGCCATCAGATCAACGGAGAAATATCGCGGAAATCTGGCTGCCTACCTTCTGGAGCACGAAGTGACGGTCACCGGTGGCCCTCTACAAGTGGAAGTGGTGGCTAAGTTTGTTCATTCTATTTCGGAATCCAGAGCGAGAAGAGTTAATCTTGTACGGGGCGGATTAGTCAGCCTGACGATAAGAAAAGGCAGGAGCAACAAGAGGATCGACGGGAAGGGGATCTCCAGGCTAATATTTCGTCTCAAGCGACGCTCCATGTAAGAGACGTTGTCGAGAGAATTTGTCGCGCTCGAAAGAAAGAAAGAAAAAGAGAGGGAAACGACGAAATTCCGCGAAATCGCGTAATTTCTAGATCTCGTGCTTGCGTAACTAAGCGACAAATTAGTCGATTTTTAAGGTCAAGGATTAAGTAACATTATTTATGCTTCGGCGCGTTTCGAAAAGTGTCCCTCGCTCATTATGAGTAATAGTACTTGTTGCTGCGAACGCTGTCGCGCAGCCTCTGACGAGTTAATATTCGTACACTAGCGATAGGTTGCGGTGTCAATTATTACCGTGTTTGCTTTCATTGCGCCTAATGCCGTTAATTCACGGACACCGGTCTTCTATGGCGTCTAATTCACGCTGCGTCCTGTCGACCAATGGAAAAATAGTCCTAATGAAATTAAAGAAAGACGTTGCTATTCTTGTTACAGATCACCCCAAACTCGCCCTACCATTAGCGGCAATACTTCGCCGGTAGTCGCGCCCTTGGCACTCTCGGTTTCCAATCCTGGCATCGTCCCACTGGTTCCTGCCTCTGATGCTGTGAAGGAAAACGTGGGAACAGCACCGGCTCTACCATCGCCTGCGGCAATTTTGCCCGATCAGTCCTCGATCGAAACTGAAGTTAGTTTTTCCTACCAGAAGAATCTGCACTCCGATTACAAGCTTTCGATCTCCTTTCCAACAAATCAAATTACATTCCCAAGAACTCTGCTGAAAGCTGTCTGTTTGTATAGGTATCATCATGTTTGGCTCAATTGTCACCTGATGCAAATGCGGCACAGACGACCACGTGGCTGCGTGCTGGTCGTTTCAACGCATTCGAGTCCACGTTCGCTAGTTTCTCAGCTGCGGACATTCTACGACTCTCCAGGGACGACTTGATCCAAATCTGCGGCCTGGCCGATGGGATTCGATTGTTCAACGCGCTACACTCGAAAGCGCCCACCCCGAAACTCACCCTTTACTTCTCGCTAGAAGACAACGGTTCGCTCTGGAGAGTCGCCTACTTGGAGAGCCTGACCAGCAGCGCCTTGATGAACAAACTGTTGAACACTTTAAGCTTGCCCCACGATCGACTGCATTCTGTGCTCTTCCTTGGTCCTCAGGGTATCCACGTGCTGGTCACCGACGAATTGGTGGCGAACATGAAGGACGAGAGCATGTACTTCGTTCAAACTGTCAAAGGTATTGAAGATAAACGAGAGACTGTGAAAAGAGAGTTGGAAATTTGTATCGATCTTGGTTTCTTCTTGTTTCTGTTACAGATAACGCGAGCGAGCGCTACAAGCTACTTCTAAAACCTTCGTCGCGATCCTAAAAAGGTACATCAATTGATAAATTAACTGCAACACTGCATAATAGATCTCTCCCATAGGGTGTAAAAATTTTTGCCAAGCGTGTCTGTGATTCGATTGTTACGTAGTTGTGTGGAGGAGCGTAAGAGAGTATGTTGCGTAACGATGCGTTCTTTATTTCGGTTGATATTGCGATGACAAATTTCCGTGGGAGATTATTTTTGGATCATTTGTACCCAAGTGTCGTTCGCCAAACACGTTTACCTTTTTAATTCATTTTAAAACGATCTTTTCTATTTTTTCTTTTTCGTGGAATTGTGAATTTAGAAGAAAAACGACGATAGGGTTCACGAAGTTACGGACTTGGTTGGAAGAAACACGAGGAAATTTGCTCTTACTCTATATGCATATATATATAATACTCACTAGCAGTTTCTTTCAGTGTAGTTATTACTCGAGGAGAGATCGATACTTCTCTGGCGCTGAACGATCGTGTTATTTTCAGCATTGAAAAGATACCACACACGTATATATCAGATATACATATATTTTATATACATTACTTTACACGGAAATTTTAATTATCGTAAAAATAATATACATACGATCCAGTTCGATTCTATTTCTCTTCTCACTTTTTAGTTTCTCTTCTTCGTTAGGATTTAAGTAAATCGTGTAGCGTCCGAAAGAAAATTCATTTAGGAAATAACTTTCGCCGCGAGACTTGCGATCGCCGCGATTATTCAACTTCTTGTGCCACGAGAGCAACTCTGATAAAATCTAGCATGCTATTGTTAATCATTATTCATCAGCGTCGCAGTTGTTACTAAGAGTTTACAGATTTTTAACTAGAGCGTGGATCGATGACGCTGCTGATGAATACGATCTCCGTTTACACAAAGTGTAATATTTTTTTATCGTCGTGAATAATCTCGATAAATTACGTAGCCTAAACGGGGCGTGAAAGACACGGAGCCACCACTTTGCCGAAGCAAAGAACCAAGAGTAGAATCGTCGAAAGTTTCTATTCTTCGATATTTAAGAAAAGTAATTTTTTGTTTCATTCGTAGCGAAAGCGTTAGAAATTATTTAGTAAGCGCTTGACAATTTTAAGAGTAACCACGATTACTTTGCCAAGAAACAAGAAAAAAACCATGTTTACTCTGTTTCGTAGTACAAACTGACGGAAGATAAACGTTTTCCTTGAACGTCTTCGAGGATCATAGGGGAAATATACCAAGTATTATAATCTATTACCAAATGTTAAAACATAAGCTAGGAGTCGTTGCAAAGAATCAATTCCAGTACCGATGATAAATAGTTACAAATTCTCGAAACACGTACGTCGATAGCCCACGATACGTCCACTAACATCCCTTCTTCTTTTTTTTCTGTATCCTGCGTATCGATCAAGCGTACCTTTGATACCTTGGGTTGAATTAGTAGCGCGTTTCAATGCTCAATGCGACACGGAAACTGTGTTTCGTTTAGAGGAAGAAAAACACAGAAAGAAAAGAAGAAGTACATCACACGAACTCGAATTGCGTGACAATCGATAGGATTGTGTGTTAGCAGAGATGAACGGAGAAAGAAGAAACCTGTCGTTGTGTAATTTTTAATTTAGATAATTATGTAAAAGTGAACGTCGAGAGCCTAGGAACTCGACGAACTTCCACCGTGACACGCGGAAGTTGCGTGTGAATTCGGTTTTGCATGCTGTTATACTTCGATTAGAAATTTCGACGCATGTCATTGTATGTCACAAAACGGCACAATAAATATCCTTTGATGCCAAAACAAAAACAAACAAACAGGCAGATATTTATACGTATATATATACATATATACATACTGTTCACCAATAAATAGGATCCAGTTTTTACTCATAAATATATTACTTTTTATTTAACAAAATAGAATAAGTCGCGACAATGTAAATGTTCTTTCGTCGTAGCAGAAAATACGATGCACGTTATCCGCGAAAAAAAACGTAACACGAGCCACGTGCTTCCCGTGACACATTCCATATTCGTTTATTCTTCCAAACGCATCCCACGATGCGATGATATTCCTCTCGCGGCGGTTATCCGCCTTACTTTTTCTTCTTCATCTGTTTGTTCTTCTTCTTCTCCTCCCGTTTCGTTTGCCTCTCGGACAAGCACTTGAACAGTTTGTAAACGAAGAACACTGCAATCGTAAAATCGTCCATTAAAACAATACCCCACGGCAAGTAAAGAAGATAAAGAAAAGGGACAATGGTTCCCTATCCGAGGTCGAATGGTAATACGATTTATACGACCCTCGATAAATATCAAGCGATTCGTAACATAACATACCAAGAACGAGACCTATAAATAGCAGAGCGAAAACGAAGACGAGGTACGAAGAGGAATACAATAGCATCGTGTACCAGCTCGTGCTACCGTACACTTTGTCTTCCATCGTTTGCCTGAACTTTCCGACCACTTGGTCTATCAACTCCTTCTGTTCCTCGCTCTCTAAATCTTTGTATCGTTCGAATATATTTGTCAATTTCTCCACGGCATTCTCCGGCAACAGACTCAACAACTTCTCTTCCGCGTCCTGCGACAGTACACCTTTGTCTTTCAACGCGTTCAAAATCTCCTCGGCCATATTGTAACGAGCGCACCTCGATTAAATCACGTAGAAAGAATCGCCGGTACTTTCTCCAAATGACAAGTGTCCAGCAGATAGATCGAAATACTAATCCCAGCTGCTAGCAGAAGGGAATTAAATAGATTGTTCGCGAGTAGTAGTTAAGTGGACGATTAGATAACAGGTAGCACGGTAAACTGAGCTGTGGTTTATGCGGTACTACAAACCGGCGATTTGTAATTAGCTCATCGTTATTATTCATATCTGAATCAGCGAAGGAAATCTGACCCAGAAAGCTTGCAATTTTCAACCTTAATTCTTTCGGAAGAAATTCCTAACATTCCTCGGCTACTACCTCTTCGTTCCTATTACAAGTTTCCCTCTGGTCGTTGCATAGGAAGAGAAATATTTACCAAAGATCAAAACGACTACGCCCAATAAGGACAACAGGATCATGGTCTGCATGCTTCGTTCATTTTGAGGGATTTGCTGTGCAAAACCACCGCCGTCTTGGATACTTTGCAACAGATTCTCCTTCAAAGATTCCTTCTCTTCCTCCGATATACCGCTCATCGAATCGAGCATCTCGAGAAGCTGCTGCGCCGTTGGGAGCTCTCCTCCTTCGAATCCTGGAGGCACCGCTGGTACGGAATCGACTTCCGGTGCAACGTTCACCGCATCCTCGGCCGATGCAACGGCCAGAAAGGCGATTGCAAGTGTGATCCACATCCTAATTGGAAATATTGTCCGTGTTAAACTGGTCGATTTTAAGCCCTCGATCATCCCAACATTCGCTCCAAGATTAGATAGCGTTATTTTTACACGGGGAACGGTGACTGATAGTGGACACGTTTAATAACCATATGGTTGTTTGCTCGGATAATCGAAGGGACGTCAGTTAGAAATGAACGATCTAACCAGCAGATTGAAAAGATCGCACCGAGGTGAGAAGTAGGTACCGACCTTTTTTTCTCTCTCTCAGCTTCTCGGTCAGTTTTAACGAGTACTTTATAATGCGAAGATCGTTAGCGGGATACTCACTTAGTTGTTCGAATTGTATCGTTCACAGGTCCTACCTGTAAGAATGAATGTTTCTCTCGGAGGAAGAATAATTGTAACCAGTTACTGGAACACTTTAGGAAACGGTGTGAGAAATATGATCGTTTACTGAAAAGATCGGGTCCTATTTGGCGGGAAGATAAGCGTCGATCAAACGCTCGGCCGATGATTGGCCGTTTCGAAGGAGGGCCGTTATCTCATTGGTCACATGTGTACGTGAGGCCAACGTGGCCACTTCCAACATGTTCCGCGAAGCCACGAAACAAGAGTTAACCTCGGTTGAATAGCCTGACCTTTACAACGTGTAGATTAAAACGCGTTAGTCCGATGATACACGTTGCATTGCTGGTGGGAGGGGGACGCAGAGCCATCTGAACGATTATCGGTATTTAAAAAGCGGTATATTCACAGGGAATTATTCTCGTACCGAGTGAATCATATTCGGTTACGTTCGATATTCTCGAAATACATAACTAGGTCGTTCATTTGTTCGAAGTTAACGACATTCGTGCACGATGCGTAATCACCGGCTGCAACGTGGTCAAGAATCAATGAAATCGTGTGTGTCTATTATGTCGTAACTTGTCGCGTCACGCTATGCCCATAAATCTGAATGACGTGCAACAGTACCAGGTGTTCGACCTATCGGATGAAATTCGAACCTGTTGCCTCCGATAAGTCTTTACAATCGAGCATGTACCGGTGGATAACGTGAAAAAACAGAGATACGTTGTTCTTTCGAATAATCGCGAAAGTAGATTTTTGTAGAGGAAAAGAGGCTTTATTGTAGATACAGCGAAGATAAGGACAGAATTATTCGAGAGAAATAAGTAAGATTATTGACAGGCTCGGATAGGAAACCGTATGTTTTTAGAGAAGCCGGGTGTTCGTGTGTAAAGAACGTGAGATGCCGCGCTTTTTCAGAAATGTATCTTACCGGCAAGGCCAATTACTACAATCCCAGGTACTACGAAGATGACATTGCTGAATCCGTGTTCGATTGGACCATCGAAACCACCGCTAAGATCCACCATTTCGAGAGACAAGGAATTTTCGACAAATTTTTCCGACAGATATGTATGTGTAGCTTGACCACTGGAACAGGTGTCACCTTAACGCCATCTAGGAAACGTCTGACGTTCTTTTAAGGTTAAGAAATTCGTGGCTTAACGGTATTTCTCTTTGTTGCTTACTTTTATAGAAGTTCTACGCGTTGTTACTTTATACGCTTCCTGATCTATCGAACGATTTTTACGTTGTCAACGATGTTAACTGTATGTTAATGTTAACGCGCAATATTGATTCTTAAACCCGGCGCCGGCGCATCAATTTGTTATTATTACGATAATATTTGTTTATTGGAGGATTAAAAAATTCTGACAAAAAAGGCGGGAACGAACCGGTGGTCCAATTACAAACGAAGCGTTGTTAAGAATATTTTCTTTATAAAAATCTTACTTCGAGAATAAAAAGTATACACAAATACCGAATAATTATTAATTTGATATCAACAACAATGCAAATTTCATAATTCAAACACATTTTAAAGTTACGTTGTGTACTATAATTGAAAAGTATAAGAGAGGACTGTTTAAATGTCGCGCTTTCAAGAAGGACATGTTCGAGCATGTCAAAACACGCATTTATAACTGATGACGCAATTCGTTGTTCGTAGAAAATATACAAGTAAGCCAGTACTATAAACATAGCAAGTAATTATTGTACAATAGTATTGAGTGATAGCTACATTGTACGTAATTTAAGGAATGTTATAAAAGAAATAATCATCGTCTATTTGAGTCACGTAGTCTTGTGTCCTCTAACAAAAACGCGATAAAATAACGTACACAAACGGTTCATTCAACGTAGTGTCTTTGTAGTTACTTTGTTTGAGAAGTGTTCCGAATTCATTATGTCTGCGGTAAACGGTACAGCGTTGTTGAAATTTGCTCGTATAACCGACAAAGCTTTTGCACCAACGAAAGGATCGAAATTTGCTGCTGGATTCGACTTACGAAGGTATAGTTTTGTAAGGGATACGTAGCACGCGTGAAGCCGGCTTTTCTTTTGTTCGACACCATCGAGTTTTCGAACGTTATTGCAATTGTTGTTTCATTTTTTTTAACAGTGCCTATGAATACGTTGTGCCAGCATGTGGTAAAGAACTTGTTCTAACTGATCTGCAAATCGCAGTTCCTGAAGGTACGTACGGAAGAGTAGCACCACGTTCAGGATTGGCATGGAAAAATTTCATTAACATAGGTGCTGGTGTTATTGATGCTGATTATCGGTGAGTCTTACCTGCGCTATCTTTATTAAAGCCTAGATAATGCAGTGATTAACAGATAAAGTGTGGGTGTGATTTCCATGTTAAACAAGTAAATCCATTTGTGCCTTTTGAGTGGTGTTAAGATGGGAGAAAGTGTGAGACTATTGTGGTTATAATAAGGAAATTGAAATTTATTTATTTTTTTTAATGCAGGGGAAATGTAGGGATAGTACTATATAATCACGGTAACGAGGACTTTAAAATCTCAGCAGGAGATCGTGTTGCACAACTAATTTGTGAAAAAATTACATATCCTGACCTCCAGGAAGTAGATAATTTAGATAGCACCGACAGAGGAGAAGATGGGTTTGGTTCAACAGGAAATAAATAGGATACCAAAGAGGAAAAGATTGTCATTTTGATGCATTTATTTTTCTAAGTTAATCTAATTTTTGCCACAGTATTTATCATTATTTTTGTAAATGTTCCTACTAATTATTAATGCCTAAATAAAAATGCTACGATTTTTGTAAACCTTTTTATAAAAATATCCTTACTAATTCAAAAACTAGATACGCTACAAATGGTTTTTGTGATTTATATTTTTGCAACTGGAACAAGATTTGTCGGTTGTGATGTAGTTTTCACCAAACTCTGTACATTCTTAAATTCCTTATGATTTGCATTTGCCAACAGCTTAAAAATAACATTCTCCGATGTAGATATATGACATCCTATTCCTCTCATCCTCTGTTGAAAAATTATAGGTTAACCACTAAATCCACTTCCAATATTTTACCTATATCTATATATTTACCTCAAAGGCCAATAATCTATCTTCTTGTGTACGTGAAGTACAACAGTCTGCCACTGTATGTACTTCGTATCCACTTTGTCTTAAATCAATTGCAGTATTCTCTACACAAACATGAGCCTCAAGGCCTATAAGTATAATTGAATCTGGTTTCTGACCGGAACAAATTGAAGAGAGTTCTTTGTTTACCTGAAATTAATATTTAAAAAATTACCCAAAAGAGTAGATAATGATAATGTAATTTTTCATAAAGAAAAGATTACATAATCATACTTCTGGGATACACATACTAAATTGTGTCTTTGGAAATGGTCCCTTAGCACCAGAAATATCAAATTGAGAAATTGTTTTCCCCAGTCCCTTGGGATGCTGTTCCGTAACGATCATGGGCACATCCAAGAGTTTCAATGCATTTATCTGTGACAACAAACGTGTAATTTAACCTATACATCCATGGGTCTACTACATAACCTTGAATCCTTCGAAGTATAGCAGTAAAGCTCTAAATACCATTGCCTAACATGCATTCATACCATATGTGATAATATTTACCAGTTTCACTGAATTCTGAGCAATTTTATCGAATTCGTACATAGCCTTAACGAATCGTTCTTGAACGTCGCATATCATTAAAACACTTTTTCCCTGTTTTAAAACCGCCTTGGCAGCATTTACAGCCATTTTCTCGATAATGCGTGTAAAATTGCGTGAGAAGACGTAATTAAAACGTTACTTATGGTGCCAGAGCGAACCAGTTAGCGAGGTCACTGGTAAAACGACGACGAATTTCTGTACCACGAGTTAACGTGCTATACTGTGACGCACGTGATAATATTCTGCGATATTGAAAGTTCATGGCCAGTCTTAGCCTTACTAACTTTAGACGTGTTGCACTTAATCGATTTCTAACAAACCTTCTCGATGCGCAAGCGACATACATACATAATTAAGTGTAAGAACATCGTACTATTATAGAGCAACAATGGAAATATTTGCAACATTACGGATGCATCTCTTTATCTAGATTCTACAGAATGTTCTAGGAATCGCACGTAAAGTTGAAATATCTCGAAAATGTTGTACGAGAGACTGTTAGAAATTACCATCGTTCTCGACGAATGTAAATTGTAAAATAAAAAATCGAAGGGTTAAAACCTAACCTTATACGACAGTGAAAACCTGTAATTCAAGGAACGTAGCCTGGAAAAAAAGGAAAGTGCTCGTGTGAATCAATTTAGAAAACGTATTTTCTAATATTCCGGTGGCGCAAGTTTAGTGATTTAAATCGACTAGCCTGGCGCGTGCGTGTTGCTGCAACGACCCAGGTGCGAGTCGGATGTAGGAAGGCCACACAGAGCGAGCAGTAGCGACCAGCGGTAGTCTAACAATGCTGTTCCGGGTGGTCAGATGCACGGTATCGTTTTGAGAGTTTTGTGTATAGTTTTGATCGAGTGTATACAAAGAATGGCCGGGGAGCCTCGTGAGACAGGGCATACGAAGCCGCTGGTGCAGCTTTTTCCGAAAGCGTCCGAGTGCGTGTATACGAGTTGTTACTGGTAAGTTGTCCTGCTCGAATTTGCTCGACATTTCTCCACAGAGAGAAATATATCGATTTGACCAAATAAAACGTGTCGTATTGCGGTATATCCCCACGTTGGATCGATACGTTGCAGTGGTACAGAGACGGCAATGCGATATGCTGCCGCCATCTTTGATATGTATGAAATATCCACGAATCACGGTGCACCGTCTGCTACGCTTTGAAACGCTTTGAAAAGACCCGCGCGTTTCAATTCATTCCTACAATTTACCATTTTATTTTTCTCTTATCTCTTCGTCAATGAAAAATACACCTTATACACGTTCCTCTCGATTAACAATGCGTGCATGCCGTACGATACGCACACGTTCTTATAACATCGTCGTATGCTTCGTCTCGCACGAATGAACGACGCTTTATTTTACAATGCACGTTAATCACCATTCGCATATCCAGCAACCTCATTTCGATCTTCTGGCCCATCGAGCTTTAAATACGATCGTTCCTATCGCCAGTCACGTGATCAGTCATACACGTTTAACAATATTTTCATGCACTGTTTACCTTTTTGTTTGCTTGTGTCACGTTTTAAAAAACAAACGTCTCTCAACGACGCTTTATTTTACAATGCACGTTAATCACCATTCGCATATCCAGCAACCTCATTTCGATCTTCTGATCCATCGAGCTTTAAATACGATCGTTCCTATCGCCAGTCACGTGATCAGTCATACACGTTTAACAGTATTTTCATGCACTGTTTACCTTTTTGTTTGCTTGTGTCACGTTTTAAAAAACAAACGTCTCTCTTCTTTCGGTTTTCCATTATTCTGTGCATCTCCAGTTTTTCGTTTCGAAACTGGCCACGATCATCGATACTTTTCGAATGCGAGTCAGATCAGTTTCGTTGCACCGTGTTGCATCATATACTGCACTGAACTGTACGGGAATACCTCTGTTATTCCAGCGAGGAAAATGTATGGAAGCTGTGTCAGGATGTAGCGACGAGACACGGATCGGAATTACAGCATTGCTACGTTGCTTTCGTGAGCAACTCCTGGCGTAGCGTACCGCTTTGGCGACAACGGGCAGGAAAGAACGAGGATAAGCTCGTAGTTTGGGTCAGTTGGAAAAAGATTCGAAAATTATTCTCACCGTCGAAGAAAGCAAAGTTTCTTCAAGAACACGCATACACACGCACGCACACAGATTGGAAAACAAAAAAATGTGTCTGTTTGTATTCATAGGACTTCCACGTAATCCTAATCTACGCACCTGACGAAAGGGCGGTCGTATACGATTTAGATAGCGCGTTGCCGTTTCCGACGCATTTCTGGAAATACGCGATGGAAACGTTTAGATCGGACGAAGTGTTACAACCGCAGCATCATCGAAGATTCCGAGTGGTGCCGGCGAACGTTTACTTGAGAGAATTCGCGTCGGATCGGCATCACATGAAACGCGAGGATGGTACATGGATCAAGACACCGCCGGATTATCCGCCGATCTCAACAGCAAGTACGTTCGTCGAATAGACAGAAACCCTTTCATTCCCAAATTTAAAAAGATACCACGTTGAAGATAGAAGCTCGTAATTGGTCGAGAGTGGGAACGAGAGGGTTGAAAGTAAGATACCGCAGCTCTCACAGCAAATCTTTCTTTTCTTTTTCAATGCAAACATTTTAGCGTGCAAGGACAACTTGGATTCGTTTATCAACATGGATCCAGAGACCGGGTTCGGGGTTGTACTGACGTTAGAGCAATTATTCAACCGATTTCACAGGCCGAACGCGAAGGCAACCGCTCCTCGTACACCTCAACCGCAACCAACACCGACTTAAGTATACCTGCTAAATAAGTTTCGCCAGGATAACGATTCTTTGCTTCGATTTTCAATTGTCAGAACGGATGGAAAAAAGAAAAAAAATCAATTTTATGGCCTAAGGGAATTGTTTAGGTGCATGTACCTTTGTGAAGCTGAAAATATTGGGTCAGAAATTCGGCGATATCACTTAACCGTTGCTAATTGTTAAAAAGGAGAAGAAGAAAAATATTGCAGCCACGTTTCTACGAGCTACGAACGAGATAGCTAAATTGGAACCGAAATATTCTTTTCTACGAAGCATTCCTGATTTTTTTTTTACAAGCCCCGTTTTTATGCCCAGATGCGTTGCATCCAATTGCGTTTTCTTTTTCGTTCTTGTCTCTGATCGAGTTTCATTTGCGAGATGGCTTTAATTGACGTTTTAATTTGTTTGAACTACCGTTGGTTAAGCGCTGCATCGTTTCACACAGCTACTGTTCTATCCTTGAGCGCTTACGGTTCCACCAAATTTTTGCATTTCATCGAAAAATCAGAAAAAGAGAAAGAAACAAAATCTCAGATCTATCTGTAGAGAAAAGTGAAGAAGAAAAAAAGAGGAAAACAGAAAAAAAAAAAAAGAAGGGAGAATCGGTGTCGTTTATATCGATATGCAAAGTTCTTCTCGCAGTTGGGTGATATGGCTTTATCGTGTGTGAATAAAACGACCGTGCTGTGCTGCTTTTATTTATTTATTTTTTTTTTCCAATAGTCTCGATAACTATTTGCCCGTTGTATTTTCTAGGCCACGCCGGTACGTTTGTTTCCTCTCTTTTTGAAAAAGCCATTTTTACAGAGCCTTTTGCAGAGACCCTCGTCTCTGTCGTGTTGCTATAGACACGTTTCACTATCGACCGTGTATTCCAAGTTTTTCAGTCGTGGTTATATGAGTGTATTCTCTCGTCTTCGTACTGTTTTACTATTAAATGCGTAAATCTTTGTCACGGCTTTGCTCTATCGGTGGTAATTTTATCGTTATAATCATTGTGTCAAAGACTGATGTATTTATGGAGAATTTCCAACAAACAAAGAAACCAACAAAAAAAAAAAAAAAAAAAAAGAGAAAAAGAAGAAAACTCGTGGAGAAAAATATATATATATCCCCGTCGACGGTATATATTATATATATGTAATTAGCCGGCGTCCAGAGACAGTGACGCGACTAAAAGCGCTTATTATTATTGTGCAATCGATATAGTAAGGGCAAAAACTTAATCTTTGCGAGATAATGTAATTATTACGATTATTGTAATTCTTGTGATACTTTACACTTTCTACTTTGAATACCTACGCTATACTTGTCTACTGTTTATACTACAAAAAGATACTGATTCTTAATGACTGGTGCGTTCGCTTGTCGACACTATAGTCTTCTCGATTATACTAGTGTAGCATCGAAATGGACTAAAATTCGATTATGAATACGACCAATTGTCGACATCGAAAGGGGTCGTTCGATTGAGTCAACGAATATACGTGTGTATCCTCTTAGATCTCCCGAATTTTGACAACGAAAACTCAAAATCTCTGATCTTCCATGAAAAAAAAAAAGAAGAAGAAGAATTACTCCGAATACGTACTCCGTTAACGTAATAGGATTCTGTATCGCTCTCTACTTCCTTCCTCTCGTGTCTTTCAATTGTAACTCCGAGCGAACGAATTGGCATGGAAATATTTTGCAACAACGGCACCAACATCCCGATACACTCTGAGAGATGTATACCGATAAATCTTGTTGTCTCTCGCTTTGACATGGCGTGGAAAATTAGATCGACAAGCGAACGCAATCGGGCTATCGGTTCGTCGATGTCGAAACTAAAAGCCGAACGAACCAACCGACAGCCAAAAAAACGTCGATAGTTTAAGAGTTCGTCCACTCTTTGCCTTCCAGAATCTTTCACTAGATCTCTTTGTCTTTGATCATCGACATGTGGTTTTTCTCTCCAATTCACCTATACCATGTTGCTATTTGCGTACGTATTTGTAAGCGACCGTATCCGCGACTAATGAAACAAAATCGAACGTTCCGATGTCGAGCATCGGGGCCGGTGAAACGACAATTTTGTCGCTTTTATACGAACCATCTGCAAGTCGTATCGTATGTGGATAAACCCGGGACCGACCTTGTTTAGCGTGTAATTAACCTTCGATTACCAAGGAAAAAAGATCTAATCTCTCTATCGTTCAAGATGTTAACTAAATATATCAGATGAAAAATTATTACGTTGTCACGACGATGATGATATATATTTATCAATATTTCATATCTATTATATCGATATATTTAATTATACCGTATCAAATTTCGATACAATACCGATAAGAGAGTTTAGTCGGGAGGTGTTGGATTTATCGACGTTTTAACGACGTATTCTCTAATCATTCTCATTCTGCGGTATACATACATTGTGAAACGAAAAAGAAAAAAATCAAAAAAAGAATCGCAAAAATTTTTTATCACGATATATTCGCACAGAGAGTTGTAAAAGAAGAAAAAAAAAGGGGAAAGAAAGCCTCTGTTTTTAATGTTCGTCTTTCGAGTCTACGTATAAATCAGTTATAGTAAATGGACGCACTCCGTTTGTCTCAGCTTTTGGAATTTTATCAATGTACCCTTTTCAAATCTTTACGAATCATCACACACACATGCTCCGAGGTCCTCTCTCCTCTTCCTCAGGTCAGGTGCCACCTTTATCGAGTCGTCGACACACAGAGAAACAGAGAACAAAGAAAAAAAAAGAATCGTTGAATACTTCCAAATGGTAATCGAAGTTGGAATTTCCATTCGAGCGATTTCACTTTGTTTCTCGACAGATACCTACTTTTACTCCGACGCGATTCGAACTTTTGTTCGTTGTTTGTATGTACGTACGATGAATCGCCCGAGCGTTTAAACGATACTTTTTTCCAAGCACAATCGATTTTTCTATCTTCTCCGTTCGACGTGTTTTTAAAACGTGATACTTGGTGTTTGTTAAAGTTTACCGATCAACAAAGGGTTTTGAACGTTTTGCTCATTATATCGCGCACAGTATTTTTCCGGCGTGCTAACGTTTCATCTGGTTGACACTGTTGGAGAATTGTACCTTAGGCATCGGAGAATTCAGAGATAAATGAAAGAAAAAAAAGAAGATAATACGACAAATGAGAGAAGCGACGACGCGCATGAATTTTCAAATGTATATTGTATTCAATTTGCAAAAATATATAATGTATAATTACAGAAGTTAACATAGTGAATTATCGTATTGAACACACCCAGCAACGCGATACACGCATTATCGAGTGTTTTCTCTACGCTGCCCTTTCATCCTTACGTTTCGTTTCTTTCTTTTTTACTTTTTTTTTTTTTTCGCTTCTTTCGCAACGGTACTTTATGATTGCGACGCAATTTCTAAGGCTTCTTAATTATTAGTAAATTCTTGAAATTTCTGTGTAACATAAGTGTGATATTACATACTGTATTGCTGCGTTGTCCAGTGGTTCGGCGATAAGTATCCCGGAAAATTGGCGACTGCAAGATAGCACGGAAAATAGGCAAGTAACAGACCCTAATAAAATTGTAATTCTTTTTCTTTTTGGTTTCAATTTGCGTCACGTTTTATCTCGATGCTTATCGCTGAACCGTTTTATATAAATAACTAACAGTGATACACAAATAGTTAAATTAAGTAAGCAATTACTTTTGCAGTAATTGTTTGCAGTGTTGCACCCTTCGTTTTGTATGTTTTCCTTTGGAGAAAAAAACAGCCTGAATATTTTTCCGTTATTTTCTCGGGGGCAATATCAGGATAATAAATATTCATAAAGTAACAGGATAAAGTAAACTAGAAGTTAAGTAATGCTGAAACTGACTTACAATGGTATGAACGTGTACGTAGGTGCATTGATTTCGTGTTCCAACGATTATTTCTTATTTATTTAAACAACTGGTATCAGTTATACAGCTTCGAGATTAGAGTATCTACCTAGGTAGAATCTCTTTTTTTTTTTTTTTCTGGCAGTCGAACGTCCTTATCGGAAATATGTGTATAACTAGGCTTTCCACGGATTTCACGTTCGATAGTACGGCCTGTAAGTAGACATCGGAATATTGTTTTTCGATAAATGGTGCACGTCACCTTGGTCGTACTCCACGTCATTGTAGATTCCGCTTTGATTCTGAAATAGAATCGTCATTGACCGTCTACGATCTAGCGAAGCGCGGTGAAAAATGGACAGAGTGGTGAAATACTCACTGCCAAGGACGATCTAGACTTTGGTCTGGGAACGTGAAAACCACTACTCTGCGGTATCAGATCAGCCCTGTCCTTGTCCTGCGGCTCTGAATCAGAGCTGTCTGGATCTGGCTGATGTCTTTGTCTCGTTGGCCTCACCGGGGGTTGAAGTCTCGGCAGTGGCACCGGTGGTAACGTTCCGTGGACACTCAGCGGTGGATATCCAAATACAGCGGAACTTGGCCTAGTTGGACCCATAGGCTCCGTCTAAAATGGACGTGTTGGAGAAGATACGGTATCCCTTTGTCCCTACGAATCTTACTTACAGCGTACACGTTCGCAGTGGCCATGTGGTCGCCAAAGTGTGCCCACATATAGGGTGGCAAATTGGTCGGTGGTCCCTGTTTCACGGAAGCGAGGGTGCCCACAGAACCGACCCTAGCCAAAGTTCCTGGAAGTGTGCCAGGTATGCCACCCTGAATGTAACCGTACACTGGAGAGCCGACAGATTTCTGTTCACGGGACCACCTTCGACTGTAGCACATGTTGAGAAAAACGTTACCTTTTTTCTCTTCTTTTCTTTTCTTTCGTTAGAACGTATGAAAAATGTAAATTATTGTAACTACCTCCACATGACCAGACACACTAGTGTCAGAACTATAATTATTAAAGCTGCTACTGACGCTCCTATTGCCACACCCAATACCTCTCCGTCGACCTCACACTGAGCACCGTAGTAATTACCAGTACACCTTTCGAGAACGAAACGTCATTTCAGAGATACATAGATATTTGTTTTTGTTTTTTTACATTGTTAGATTTACTTACGAGCATTGCATATGATCGCCTTGGTAAGAGCACGTTCCTCGATTATTGCAGTAAGTCGAGGGACACGAGATACAAGTCCTACCAGATTCGTTCGAGTCATCTTTGTGAGGATCTTTTAATCCTAGATTACAGGTGCAAGTGAATCCACCCCAATTATTCGTGCAGACTGCCGACGAGTGACAGTCGTTCAATTCTGACGAGGCACACTCGTCCAAATCTGTAGATTACAGTTGGAATCATTTTTTTTCTTTTTTCGAAATCAACGTACAGACTTAGGAATTATTTCTTTCTTTTATGCAGACCTTGCAAATTCGATATGGACCCAGGAGGACTGTCGACATAAAGGGCGCTGTTCCCTATATTATTGCTCCTTCTGTGAATAACACCGAGCAGATGTCTCTGCAGCTCCCCTGCTAAGCTTGGTCTAATTGTCCTCGGTTCATAAGTGAGTTTCAGGGTTGCGTTTACAAAGACACCCCCTTGCCCTTTGCTCACGTCACCCTGATACACGGCATTTATGAAAGAGCCCATATATTCGTCCGAAAACGGTGTCATCGACATAGCAGATTCGATCTGGTGAACGAGAGGAAATTATTGCAAATATTTCCACAGATTTTTCGGTGAAACAATTAGGTGGAAATCAAGTTAACTCACAGCTCGATTTGCTTCGTAAGCCAATGTCTGATAGGGCTCGGAGTCTTTGTCGGTGAACCCTCTATCCCATACAACTTTTCTCTCGTAAATTTTGTCCACTCTGATCGACACCACGATACTGATAATTTCTAACAACGAAAATACACGGTTTAATTGAAATTCGTTGAAATTGGTAGCTTAGAGTCGGGCTTGCAATTGATCTACGAACTTTTGCACGGCAAGGAGTGCTGCAACCTGGCGTACCCTGGTTTGCAGTGACACGCAGACACTCCTTGAACAGTGGCACAAGCTTCGTGCTGACTGATGTCACAGGTGCTCGTGTCACCCACGATGCAAGTGTCAATTCTGACAGGTGGTTGCGTTGGTCTTCTATGGAACGTGGGCCTTCGAATCGATCCGCTGGGTCGTGGAGTTGCTGCCGGTGGATCTGGCTGTGCAACTGCAAATCTGCGTAAGAGAGAATTGAATTGGAAAGTTCAAAAAATTCAACTGAAATTGAAATGTTCAAAAGCAACCGACCCTGTGCCAACAATGGCCGGTGGTTGTTGAGTTCTAGTCGGTTGAGGCTGTGGTTGAACGTGCGTGGATGTTCGATCTGAATTTTCAAACAGATTCAAGTACGTTCTCTTCCCGTCGATACTCACGAATCCTTGACCATCGACCGCAGATGTTAAAATCACATCCGCGTTTCCAGCGTTTACCGGCACTCTAACACCTTCCCCTGTTCGAAAACCATGAAAACTGAGCATCCTTGGTGAAAGTTTCGGTTTAATTAAAGCCAATGTTTACCCGAGCCTCCACCGCCGGGACCTTGGATAGCCGAGACCGTGACATCAAAAATATCACCGAGAGGTGGATGTCTCGGTGGTGCGTAAGGTCGTTGAGTAGCCAACCCTTGGGTCCCCGTGTAATCCAAGGTATCGTCAAGGACGATCCCAGGTCTGGGTCGGTAAGCATAGCGATCCGTAGGGGCTACAAAGGAAATTAATCGAGCATGACAGCCTTCCTCTGCTACAAAGGAAGCTAATTAACCGTACTCGTTCGCCGGGGCCGCGTGAGGAATTCATTATAGGCTGAATGCAACGAAGACGTGCGTTCAAGTGAATATCCTACCTGAATTCTTGGAGAACGTATTGGAGCCCAAAGTATGAACTAGACTCTTCTCCGTTGTAGATGCAATCTTGGTGAAAGTCGAAGGCAAACTCTCCGTTGGAGTTGGAACACTGGAGTTGGATAGAATTGTACTTTCGAAATTGGACGATTTACTTGGCTCTAGTGTTATCGTACTCGACGGAGTGGGAATTGCAGTCGATTGAATTATCGTCTTAGTCTTCGTTGGCTCTATCACCTGAACCGACGAGCTAGTTTCTACATTTAAGGTGGACGTAGCGAAGGGTTTAGTCGGTGCCTTGGTTATACTTTGCTTGCTGTTAGGCTTCTCGTTGTTGCTCGTGTCGGGATTAGATCCCTGAGAGTCGGCGATTTTTGAGGATTTCGTCGGTTTTATCAGGATCTCCAGTGGTATCACAGGTTTCGGAGAATCTTGGTGTTTGGTGGTGTTTATTTTGTTCGCGCCGCTAGATTCGACCGTGGTCGATGCACTTTCGTTGCTTATTTTATTCTCTTTCGACGGGGACTGATGCTTGTTTTCTTTTTTACCAGAATTCTGCGATTCGGAATTTTTCACTGGATTCTCGTTAATCGGTTTCTCCGTAGTCTTGTCTCGTTGATGATTATTCTCCTCGTGTCTCTTGGTCACATTCTCCAGAGTATTCGTAGTGGTTTCACTTTGATCGGTTTCTTCCTTTTTCACGGAAGATTCCTCCGTGGACGCATGGTCAGGTTTCAGCTCGTGTTGAGGTTTGTCCGAGTGCTTGTCGTCTTGTTCCTTCTCCCTATTGAAAGTGGAATCTAAGGTCGATTGCACTGGTTTGTACGAGGAGATCGGTCTTCTATTTACACCTGAAATGCCCGAATTACAGCAAAAAGAGAAAAAAGAATCGGAGTAAAACTAGCGGGATTGGAAAGAAACGGCGATATTACCGGGACGATTCCAAGTCCAAGGACGATTTCCTTGCGGAACAATTTGCTCAGGCAACGGAACTCCATTAACGAAAGGCCTGATTGGTCTCTCGGGAGGCAATTGATTAATCAGAGGTCTGTCGGGAGCTGGAGGTTTCTCGAATGGATAAGGGTGATCAGGTGGAGGTGGAGGATTCATTCCAGGTGTATCGAAATCAGGTGGTAACGGTGGAACGTCCGAAATTCTCGGTGGACCTCTGTTGTTAATTCTGAAAAAGAGAAGAGAAGGGGATATTGGTAAATAGAGAACGGTGTGTATAGTAATTGGAAGCGTTTGATGTATCACTGTGTACCTAGTGGCTTGAATGGGCCTCAGTGGTCTCACCGTATTGGCAGCAACGTTCACGTTCCCATTCAACAACTTGACAATACCCGTGATGATGTCCTGTATATCAGGATTTGCCTGTCGATGTCCAGGAGAGGCGGTCTGCAGAATAGGCGGCGGAGCGTGCTCACTATAGATCCTCGGGATCTCTTGGCGTGCGCGTCTTTGTTGATCTACTGCCTGCAAATACTGTGCCTGTTGGCTCGACACTCCGGCCAATTGATGGGGCTCCGACAAGAGTTTTGGTCTCTGCGGAGCCCCTTGTCCTTCCCCCGACATCGGCTCGCTGGTTGTTGGCCAAAAACTGTCGATTAAGGAGGAACGATTGAAATCGGCTGTTGGATGAAAATTTGCCAAGTTTTACTCCACTTACTGGTCAGATGTACCGAGGAAAAGTTCGATATTATTTCCATCGATATGGTCTACGTGTTTCGAAGAGGTTAGTTCGTCGATAGCCTCCTGGTGCCTGTTACCTTTGTCCTCGAGCCTTGTATCATCTTTGTCGTAGTTACTGACGCTTTTCGAGCTTTCCAGTTGAAACGCTGGAATGGTTCTGTGAAAAGTGGGTGATCCATCGCGGTGATACGCGCTGGACGTCCTTTCCGGGCCCATGTACGCGCTGGCACTCAGAACGATATTCTCCTGAGAGGATTTAGAGGATGTTCGATCGTTCTGTATAGCCGAGACACCTGCAGCACACACATTAGAAAATCAACGGATCTCCGTTTGAATTTGTCCTAGAAGAAAATGGATAATTGTATTTGAATTAAAGCGTGAGAAGGCGATAGATGAAATAATACGTTTGGAAACGGTACTCTCGAACGATTCTTCCTACAATTCCCGTTTCTTCTCCATTTTCAAACGCGCAGAGAGGTAGAAAGGACACTCGATCTGATCCCACGTTTCCTCGATGGCTCGATCAATCAGACATTTACTTAAATCAGCCGGGGGTAATGGCAAGAAACGTGACGTTGTCGATAGCCATGGAAGGGTAGCGATCGAGAGTGGCAAAAAATCGAGAAGATCCACGGCCGATCGGCGAGGAAAACGGTACTCGGGACGGTTGACATTCTCGAGGCCGGTATCGAGTGGTTTGACCAACCGTGGACGTGACGCGTATGAAATTACTACTATCTCTTTCCTCGTCCCTCTTTCATTCTTCGACATTCTCTCTGCTCGCGTCACACCTTCCGCCTTTTCCGCCAGGTGGGGCGAAAAAAGGTTCATTGACATCGTCCAACATCATTTTTGGCACGAATCAATTACCGCCATTCTTTCGATCTCCCTTCGCGGAGATTACGTTTTACCATTTTCCCCAAACGATCGTTTACGCTACTTTCCTTCTTCCCTACGGATATTATCCTTTTCTCGTAGGAATATAGTTTCGAACACCCTTCGTCTTCGACATTCGCTCTTGCGAACATCGTGCGCTTGGATTTTACGGCCACGGTTCCTAACTATATCGATAGTTGGTACACACCAGCCATTGAAATTCCGTGGTAGACGGGACAGAAACAATGGCAGATTTCTATGCAACAATTCAACGACGCGCGAAGCAATTTAAGTGAAACTACAATTGCCCCCGTACTACCGGCCATGTATAGATCATCGTGACTCGATAGTAACGATCGCCGTGTCCTAAATATCCCCGTGGAAACCTGGAATACTAACCGAGATAATTAATCGTTTCCACGGTGCACCACGTGAAATTGGTTCAGATAAAGAGACGACGTGGTCTCGATGTTGTCGAAGGCAGCGGTTCGTGAACGAACACCACCTCCGTTCGAGCCTTTTGTCTCGTAGAAAGTGTGCATATTATAGCTATCATTTTCCTACCAGGACTTTTTCCTTCTTTTCAGACCTTTCACCGTCTTTGACCGACTGTTTCGAGGAATACCCAGCCCCGAGTCAGTTGCTGCTGTTAACGGGATAATAAGAACAACGATCTAACGGAGCTGGTTCGTATCGTTAAAGCCCGGATTAGGAATAGAATGCAGTCGAAAAGAGGTTTTTTTTCATCGGTCGATGGAAAAATTCATCGTTCGCTCGTTCTTCTTCTTTCTCTTCGTCTCCTTTGTCCGAGATGGATAGCAAACGTTTCCATAATTTATCTCTTTCCATAGCTCGCGGATTTTATCACGGTGTTTCGTTTTGCCGATTAATTATTCATTAGCGCGAACAGTAGATTGTTCAGGTATGAAGCACATCGGTGTCTTCAAAGACTACTCAGCTTCGTCTTTTTGTTCCCCCCCTGAACGAAGCGCGACACGCGTCGATAGATCGAGATTATCGGAGAATTTCCTCGCGAATAATCATTTTTTCACTTACATCTGCCTAATTGTTCATTAGGCAGCGTACGAAGCGACACGATTTTTAAACAGTTGCCCGCTGGTAGCCGCAATTAAGCTAACCGCTGCTTCGTTCTACTCGGCGAGCAACATGCTCTCGATCTTGATTCCTGCGGAAATGCTAGAAAAACTTCTGCAGTATAAAAGATAGCATGGAAGATCCTTCTCTGATCGAATCGATCGATTCTCTCCCTCCCCCCGTGAAGAGAAAAAATCTCTCACGTTTTTTCCAATTGTTACTGTACAAAAATTACAGTTATCCTGGTCTCGATAAAAATGCACGATAATTCAATTGTCCTCCTTCCATCGCGGAAATCACGTAGCATTGTTGCTCAGGACCACACGTTATTATCGTCGCGGAGATTACGGTTTCAGTTGTAGCTGAGTTTGTTTCCAAGGTACGCATTACGTACCTCGAGACGTAGCACGAAGAAACAGCGTGAGAATGTGGGTAAACGATGAAGCTGTTGCGGCCTTAACTAGCGTGGCGAAACTGACGATAAGGTTGAATTGGAAGTTCCGAGTGAACGATTGAAATTACAGTGATTCGTTTGACAGCGGTTTGCCGTTTGCCGTTTCCAGCCAGCCAGCAGACCTGTTAATTAATCGATCATATTGCCGGTGTGGTCGCGTGACCGTCGTAGATCCCATTAGACGAACCAGTTAGATATCGTGTACACACGTGTTGATGGGACTTTCGTTTCCTATTTGGATCGCATAAATAATAATTACAAACGCGGCATGCCGCGAACGAATAACGGTGTTCACGAGCACCATAACCTCGCTAACGTGAGAGCATCGAGCGCAGGGATCCCGTGAGAATGTAGGTGAATTGCATGGTTGATTCTGTCGCAGCGAACGGAATGCAGTCTCTTGGTCAGCCTCGAAACTTCAGGTGTCCTGAATCCTTCGGACGTACTCGGGACTCCTCACTCGTGTCTGCCCGGCGAGAAGTCATTGTCCGAAATAATTACCGACGCGTTCTCCGCTTTAATTGCTCTTTTGCAACAGTCGTACTTTTACTTCGCCCGATTAAATTACACCGTCTCGGCAGAACTTTGGCTCTCGCGTGTTTTTCACGCGATCTCGATAGAGAAAAAACACCGATGAAAATTTCGATAAAGAGTACACAAGGTGTGTGTGTGTGCACTCGTTTCGTCTAATTTCGAGGGTACGTTCGCGAGATAAAAAGCAGCAACCCGTTGTTTTTCTCAGATAAGCCGTATTAAAGCCGTATCGAAAATAGAAAGATATTGCGAGACCTCGTAAACACGGCGCCTCGTGAGGTAACGAGGTAACATAGTTTTGTCTTCTTTACAAAACGTCCGTAAAAAATGTAGTACCGGTTCTATACAGAGATACCTTGGATCGCCTGCCAAGATATCTGTGTAATGATAATATTTACCGACGGCTGGGTCGCGCTAATACAATCTCGCGTGTGCAGGATTAATTAATTCTACCCCTTTTTCCCTTGTTTTTTCTTCTCATTCTGCCATCTACTACTTAGTCTACGAAAGAACGTGGTGGTGCATCTTGCTGCAGGCAGAACCATCGATCACCCCCTCGTTATTGATTACGCTCGTCTCTGAGCGAGAAGAAAGTCAAGTCGAGCCCTCGAACAACCCTATCCACGGGTTTATAGAGCCGCGTGAGGTATTGTTTAACCCGGTGACGTAATTCGAACAACGTCTTCGTGGTCTTGGAAGGAGAATAAAGAGACGTCGAATGGGGGTTTATCCGTGGAAACGTAGACTCGAGCTATGCGCCGTCTCTCGAGGCGGTAACGGCAGAGTTAACGGTACACCATTCCAGCCGAATATTTATTCTTTTCGCCGGTGAACGCGACATTTGGTGGCTCGAACGTGAGCTTCGACAGGTGTACACGTGTACGACCTTCGACACGTGGACTGTGCCAGGCCCTGGCTGGGTCAAGGGAGGCTTTCTCCACGTGGCATTTACATCCTTTTACCGCGTTCGTGATTAAGCGAACGGGAGAGAACTTTTAGAAAGAGGAAGAAGAAAAAAAAAGAGAAACAGGATGAGAATAAAGATTGCAACTAATCTAAATTGATCTTCGGATTAACATGGTTTACCGACGTTTTTCTATGACTAACGCATTTTTTAGAGAAATCTTCGCTACCTTTCTTCAAGAGGAACGAAATCTCACATGACGAGAACCAATCGGACTTTCCGTTCCACCATGTACGACGCGATTTCGTGACACTTTCTCGGCCAACTTGGTTGGGCGAAAGTCGAGTGACGAAACTCTGTGTGCCGGATACGTTCTTTCGTGCCGTTGCTCATCCGCGTTAACGATGACGTTAGGAGATACCTTATGCAAATTCCTCCGATTGCGTAAACACTTCCGCGAGATGAAATTGAGAAAAAAATATCTCGAGATGGTGTTCGTTTAATCGTTCGTGTAATCGCGGTCGATGACTCGTATGCCTTGCGGCTGAAATCGTACCTAGACCGTTAAAACGACCAAATTTACATAGGCCGATGAACCTACTTTTGCCTGAATATTATGGCTAATTTCTATCTCGCAGAAATCTCGTTTTCCCTTTAGCTTTACGAATTGATTTTATTGCTCCGCGTGTGTTTGAATACTTCAGATCACGCAGGCATACTGTGAAAGCGTCAATTTTTATTAGCGCTCTCGAGCACCTATGTTGGATGTGAAAATCTCGAGGTAACAGGTACGTGCCAGGATACGAATGCGCGTCATGCTTGTAGCTTTCTCCTCTGCGTTTCTGAAACGTGTCTATGACGTGTGTCTGGTTTTAACCAACGATTCAAACTTACACGTTAACAGATTTCGTTAATTCGACGCGTTTCCGATCTTATTATTAGCCGAGCTTTGTTAAAACAAGTTTATTATACCGTGCTTTACTCCACTTTGAATTATTTATACCGGGGGTTTTAGCTTCTCCGCAGGTCGACGAACTTGGACGTTTTCCTTTTTCCACGATATTCGCCGAGCTCTAGCCGCTACGTCGCCGTTGTGTTTCCAAGATTCTCATGGTAAATTGTTTATAGGCTTTGTAGCAAGTTTTATGAAACCGGATAACGAATCGTCGTCTATTAACAGCTCTCGCTACAATTTACCAGAAGTCAATTAAGTCGATCTTTGTAATTGCTATCTTCGAGAAATTGCTTCTCTTTCGCTCTGTCGCGAACATTCCGGAGCGATAAGAATTTCGCGACAATGTCGTTAGGCGGTGACTCGCGAACGCAGACTTGGAAGGCAAGGTGTACCTTTTTATCTCGTGGATCTTGCCTCTGGAACGTCAAGGGATTTTCGACAGAGGTCAAGATACCGGTTTAAAACTCGACCGCACGTGTCCGCCTCTTCAAAGACCCATCAAACAGGTTCAAGCATTAATTCGTCGAATATTTGCATCGTCTCGTGGCTTTCTCTCTATGAATCAGAGACCACACTCGGTGCAAAAATGTTATCCGCGAGGATCGTTAAGCGCCACGGAGACGCGTTCTTCGGCTTCGGCGTGTATCCTTGATCGTTGCCGCGAAAAGAAAAGAAATGACGATTTATCTTCTGCATTGTTACACCGAGTTCCTCCTTTCGAACGAATCGTAAATCATATTCCGCGGGAAGTTTAATTACCGCTGGGGACGTAAAATTTGAATTGCATTTGTACAGGTTGTGTCTCTCCTAAATTTCTCTACGCAGACTGAATCGAGAGTGCGAACAACTTGAACGAGGTCGCGTCTTAGTTAAACTGGTTGTAAATTCTAAAATATCCGTTCACTTACCTATGAGAATTTCGAGTGCCAAGGTCACGAGGACCTTCGACCTCGTTCGCCCTACCATCCCTGCTCGTTGGCCGTGTGAAACGGTTGCACCGCGGTTGCTCGTCCTGATCAAGGTCAGGCTAATGTCAAGGACACCTCGAAGGAGCCGTTCAGGAGTGCTCGTGGCTGGACCAGTCTTTATCGTCGTAAAACGTGCCACGATACCAGCCGATCGCCGCCATGTTGATTCGCGAGCCTGTGCCGAGTAAAAACGTCTGGCATCGTGGAAACTTCAATGCCCCCGTCTCGCCATTCTTTCCTTTCCTCGTCGAAGATCCTACTCCCCTCGTCGATCCCTTCTTATTCTCTTCTTCTTCCTCTTTTTTTTCTTTTTTTCTCTTTTATTCGGTCTCGCACTCTCGCGCACAACGATTGACCTACTTGGCCGCGGTTAGGTCCGGTGTACGCGTCAGCTTTTCGGCCGATACACCGCTCGTCACCTTATTTTCACTGCTTTTTACCCCCCCTCTCTCTCTCTCTCTCCTTGCTTTTCTTCTACAGCTTTCTCGCGTTTCTTCTTTTTGCCAGCAACAGCACGGTGTCAGTGTTGTTTCACCCATGCGCCATACCATGCGGGCTGATTTCGTACAGAGATTATCGCCTACCGCGAGCTGTCCTTATTACGCCAGGAAGTTTCACTTGAAAACGGATTTTAGAAACCTACCATGAAACTGGAATACCTCCGCTCTAATTGCCGTGTATCATTATCTCAACTATTCTTCACGGTGAGAATATTATCTAGGATCGTTCTCTTCGTTGTACTTCTTCGCGACGTTGCTTCTGTAGAAGTTTTCCCTTAAATTTTCGTTGCACACCACACCATGTATCACAGAAACTGCACTGATCCCTCTGGTCACATCGTTATCGATAGGTATATCCGTATAGCACCGAACCTTCCAACAAGCGTGTTATCGACTTTACACACAGAATTAGCACCCGTAAGCAGGACTATCCGACTTTCTAATCACCGGAGTACCATTTCGTTTATCCTCTGTCGGGTGTAACAGCGCGATAAATCCTCGGTGCCGTTCTGGTGCCGGTTCACCGGTTCGATTAATCCTACGTGAGCTATCGGAACCTGAACGGCGGAGGAGAGGACGAAAACCTTGGAGGTTTGTACGAGTTTCGTTCGAGGTTCGCTACACGGTCGTTCACACGGGACTGGCTTACGGTGAGGACGGTCATACACGGTTTCTCCCACTTTAACTATGCCATGCTACATCATGGTGCACTATACTACTCTTCTTCACTGTACATATATACTACGTGGCTTGTTTCTACTCTACCGTCCAGTCCACTCCTGTTCTCCCTTCTCCACTTTCAAATTTCTCTCTCTCTCTGTCCCCTTTCCACCGTCTTTCTTCGTTATGCTCCCTTCCTCACACTTTGCGGGAACCGCGTGGAAGATGTGAACGGGCCTGGCCCGTGTGAATTGGGGTTCTTTTCTGATACACGGTAGTTTGGGTGCAGCGATGCCCAGAATCGTGGGACGTGGGCCAAACGCTTACCCCTACTACGATCTACCGTCCTCGTGCTCTCGCAGAAGTGTATCGATAGCTTATCCACCTTACCACGTGACGAGTAGCAATCGGGAGATTCCCTTTGAGTCCCGGTGCGTCGGTTTTTATTTTTAATTATTTGGTCATTTCACTTTGCAGCTTTTCGGTGAAGTAACAAAGTTGAGAACTATCGATGTGCGAAGCACTTGACAAGAAGACCCGACCCCCGAGGATTCTAATTAAATTTGGAGGGACGAAAAATGACATTCCGTCAGATATTTCATTTCAATGCGCATTTTTTGTAAACAATTGAAATTACTTGTATCAAATTTTCAGATTTTTAGGCGTTTGTCCCACGTTCCGCGATTCTGGCATCTCTGGTTGGTAGAGTTCCGCTTCTTCTTCTTCTCTTTTTCTTTACCTCTCGATCCTTTCGGGACTTGGAACATCTTCGACGTTCATCCCTGCCCCCTTCTCTCGTTGGTTCGCGACAACCGTGTCTACCTGTGCGCACAGAGAGGAGGCCATTTTCCACCTGCATTCTCGTTGCCCTTTCTTCAGATTCGAGATACATCGCGGGAAAACGTAGCTAAACGGATACGAGCGCAATTGTGCAAGATGCCTGTGGCGAAACGTATGCACGTGCGGATAACGGGATTTCGTGAGTAGACCGCGAATGAGGGGATTAATCGATCACCGGTGACATTCATTTATTTTACGTGCAACTGCTTTTCCATTCAGTCGACGTTATCGAGAAACGAATGTTTCCCCCGGAGATAAATGGTGTGGTGGTTTGGCGAGAATGAACATCGCGGTGCAGGTCAAAGTGGTCCCCTTTTTCGTCACATTTTTATCAACCTCGAATCGTGTAAGAGGTACACGTTCCACTTTTAGGATTGCGATAAACAGACTAGACTAGATCCTCGTGGAAAATCTTGGTTCATTTGCAAATAATACCGCGTAGTGAAAATTAACGAACGGTTAACTCCTTTCTCTCGTATTTTGCATCTAAATCGCGGTGAACACGCGTATCTTGAATTTCTGGCATCCGAGGTATTTTTACAACGGCACGCAACCTCGTGTCTGCGGGTACTCCTATTTAAGCAGATAATTGCAGATCTGTTAGGGAATATTTCGCGCAATTACAGCGATTCAACGAGAGAGCTGCCGACTCATGAAAGTTCAACAGGTGTGAACCTTAAGAAGTTTCTCTCGATCGTTGTTCCAGAACTCGAGTAACGTTCCCCCGGTTTCTGTACAGCTGCGACCCTTCATTTTCTTCTTCTTCTTCTTCTTTCTCGGTATGGTAAAACCAGCCTGGAATGCGCTCTCCTCGATCAGCCGAGCAACATTGATCTTCGCGACGCGACGCGGCGATGTGGTTGCCGCTGAAATTGCATCGTAATCTTCAATTTCGTTCACCGCAGGCTACCGGCCTGTGAAAAAGTTGACGCGTGTCGAATTCGCGGAAATTTTCAATCGAAATAACGAAGCCTTCGAACGCTTCGACAACGAGTACACACGTATTTATTCCTTTTCCTCCGTCGAACGGAGGAAAAAAAGAAACAATTCCTCTTTCGAGGTTTCGCTTAAGATTCTACGAGCAAAATCTATTTGTCCATTGACCTCACGTAACACCGGCGCGCCTTTTTCTATGCTTCAAAACTTTGAGAAGCTTGTGTCCGCGTTGCAACAGAACGCGTCTACAGAATTAAAATTGCACTACTGTATAACGGGTGTAGCTTGTTGGCCAAGTATCCATGAAATTACTCGGTCAGTAACTCACTATCCTCATCCGGGATAGAATAATAGAATGAAAATCGTTTCATTATTCCTATCGGTTCAAAGAACTGGTTTCGTTTCAACATCCTTCGATCGCTTCACCTTACCCTCGTTCAATTATTTAACGACACGCTCGAGGATTCGTTCGATTAAGAACAGCTACCCTAAAGCTTCGCCACCCTGACACGGCGATCTAGATATCGGAAAATTCAAAGTGGAGGGATCTCTCTCTCGTGTTGGAAGCGAAAGAATCTGACCTGCTACTGGGAAGGTAGCTTGCATACCAGCCAGGCATTGGAAAGACAGGTTCCTTCGGTCGATAATCAGTCTACTACCACTCTACAGTCGGTAGCTTGAATACTCCAACACATTTTCAACGTCGTTCCAATCTCCGCTGCCGAGGAAAGGGTTAATTGCAAACTAAAAATATTCAAACATTCCCCGAAATTTTAATATACACTTCACTCGTTCGTACGAGACAGAAAATGCGGAAAAAAGTTTGAAATTTAAATCGGAAAAATTTGAAGTATAGCATAATCAGGCGGGCAGCTGGAGGACCGCTAATACGTCCGCCTGTTTGATGTTTTCCTATGCAAGAGGCCAGAGCTCGGATACGGGCCGTGGTGCAATTCTCTATTTTCATTCCAGGCCGGGGCGAACAATGGGGGATCTAAATTGGGCAAAAACCAGTCTGCCGTCTAGTTTGGCGAGGCCGAAGGGGCATTCTGGCGCAGGCTGGGACAACG